ACTTAATATCAATGATCTTTTCATGTGAGAAAAAATTAAAACATGCCCAACTTCTAGTAAAAAAAAAATAACAATCAGGACATAAAGTACTGAGCCACTGCTGTTTGAATTTTCAGAGATATTAGTCATTGATTGTATGGAGGATGTTCTCCCCTCTTGATCATCTAATTAATGCTTAAATGAATGCTTAATTTTCATAGTAAACAAATGAAGAGAGTAAAATTCATAATTTTAAATTATATCATTGTGTATGCTATTATCTAATTGTCCCTGCTTGGGACTTGGCTCTGCTCTTTGGGCTGCTTTCTGGAGACTTATGGTTGAATTCTATAAAAATGTAACAACTGAAACAGAGCAGATTCTCAGCTTATTAAATAATGTGGCTGCTAAAGTGAAAGCTCATAGAAATAAACTCTTACTGATAAAGAGCCTAAGAAATTATTGTTCCACAAAATTAAATGCAGGTAAATTATTTGTTCCACACTATTAATAATCAACAGGTCAAATTAACATGTTACTTGGGATCTGTAAAAAAAAGTTTCCTTTTTTTTTAAGATTTTATAAAAATGCTCCATGGGTATCACCTAAAGTAACCTCTTAAAATCCTATTGAGATTGTTTTTAATGTTTTTATTAATGACTTTTGAAAAGCACAAAAAGCATATTTACATACAAAGTCCACATGTTCCACAAAAAAAATTGTACCCACTGTGGGTTATACTGCTCAAATTAATATTCCTACATTTCAGAAACAGCTTATAGAATCATGTTAAAAAGTAGATACATTCCTGGAAAAGGTATAGGAAAGAATTATCAAAGAAAATCCCAGGACCAGGGTGCTGCTGTTCTGCTCTGTGATTGCTTAGTTTCACTGGTCAGTTGGCCAGAGGCAGAGTTGGCTCTGATCTCACTGAGCCCAGGGCCAGGGTGCTGCTCTATGATTGGTTGGTTTCACAAGTCAGTTGACCAGGGGCAGAGATGGCTCTGATCTGAGCCAAACTGTGTTTCTTTCGCTCCCCTTATCTGAACCATCTTTCCCTAGTTCTGGGATCCAGGGTCAGGGTGAGTTTCTTTATCCAGCCCCTTTTCCCTACACTAAGTGTGAAAAATGTATATAATGAACTATTTAAAACATATTGTGAAATTGTTTAAACTCAAGAAATTTAATTTTACTTATTGTTTCTTTTCTGGTCTAAGTCTACACTGTTCAAGAGAAGTCAGAAATGATTCTACAAAGAAGATGCAGCATGTGTGTGGTTCCCAGAGTTCTGGGACCATGCTTTCTTAGAACAGACTAAGAGTTATAAATCTTACCATGAAGTTTTATGGTAAATTAATCACCTATCCTGGCAGTGTTTTCATCCTGAAGTAAGACAGTTTGAAATTATTTCAGTATATATCTTGAACAACTTGTCAAATAAGTTCTGACTTAAAACAATCATCAAGGGGATGTTTTACTTTTGTAATAGATATTTTATCTGTAGCTCTGAGAAAGCGAAACTAGAGGCAGCCAGCAATATGGTTTGTATAAAGAAAGCAAGCAGAGTAGGTAGCAAATACACTTCTGGGGTCATGCCCAGAATTATGAAGCAAACTATACATTGGCCTTGCCAAAATGGGTGAGTTTCTCCAGGGTCTTGCCACAAGGAGAATTTGTTCATGCTATTCTCAGGCCTTGTCCCCTGAAGAAGTCACATGGCTCCCAGCAATCATGGCTAGGAGCATGGCCACAATCATGCAGGCATGGTGCTGGAGGAGTAGCTGAGAGCTTACAACCTGATCCCTGAGCAGCATGCACTGGGACCTGTGTGGGCTTTTGAATCCTCAAAGCAGATCACTGGTGACATACCTCCTCCATCAAGGACATACTTCAAATCCTTTCCAAACAGCTGCACAAACTGAGGACAAACATTCAAATATATGAGCTATGGGGACCATTATCACTCAAATCACCACAGCATCTTAGCACAGCCAAAATGACTGTTCATAAAAAAAAAAAGACAAATGCTGTAGCAGATATGGAAAAATAAGAATTCTTAATCATTGTTGGTAGGAGTTGTAGTGGTCTGAATGATCAAAATATATTGTATCAGAAAGTATTTTACCAGAACACTGCAGCAGAGGCCACGGGAAGAGTGCTGCTCACTGGCTTGCTCTCCAGGGCTTGCTCAGCCTGCTTTCCTATACAACCAAGGACCACCTGCCTAGAGATGGCACCACCCACAATGGGCATGGACTTTCTGTATCAGTCATATTTTCCCAGGAGTAGATTCACAACAGTCACCTGCCACCAAGCCCAATGTCCTGAATTGGATCACAGGGTTGTATGTGGTGGGAGGAGAGGACAGACTCCTGAATGTTGTTCTACAACTTGCACATGTGATCCATGGCATGTGCACATACATATATCACCCACTACTCTATCCCCCTACTCACACAAATAATCAAATGTTAATATTAAGAAATAACCCCTCTCTGAATACTCATTACCATACAGGCTCAATCGTGTGTGAGCTGCAGAGTTAACTGCTGCCAAAGATCTCAAAGTGGTGCTGGGCTTGCAATCTATGTGTTCGACACAGAAAAGACCAACAGAAGTCCTAACCCACCCATAGCCAGTAGGCTAAAGGCAACTGAGCCATTCCCTTCCTTAACGAGCCTTACTGCAAATTGGAGTCCTTGTAAGATGGTATCTCAAAAGCAAATGGAACTTGAGTTTATAAATTTATAACTTTCAAAGCCAATTGAAATGTATATAACTATTGAATTAAATTTATCATGTCCAATAGAATGAAAGATTAACTAACTGTGGTAGGTACTTTTGCTGGCAGTAGTAATTGGTTACTACTAGCTGTAGTAACCACAGCTAGTAGTAACCAATTATGAAATGGTAATCCCAGAAACAGTAGCAGCAGTGGCCGCTACTGCTATAACAGCAACAATGGCAGCAGCGATGTCAAATTCTCTTCTGGAGCATGTGGGCATCCACTGGCATGAACACAACTCCAGGAACACGAACTGCCAAGGCCTATTTTTCTTGATCCCAGCATGACTTAAGCTGGAGCTCTGCAAAAGAACAACTAAGAACCATAAAGAAAAAGCAGGCAGCTCACAAGGAGCAGAACTAATGGTCTCATAATGGCTACATTCAGCCTCACAAATTTTAAGGTATCTTCAAAGAGGGCTAAATGAATTTCAGGAGGTCAATAAATGTTGCACAGAGCCACTCCTGAAAAGTAGGTACTACACCAGCTTGAAGAGAATTGCGAAAATGAAAAGGCGGGTAATGCCTGCGGGGCACTCACCAACCTAAGACAGAGCGCCTGTGTGGCCTGGGCAAGTGTCTCCATGATGGGTAAGGTGACCTGCTGACGTCCTACTCAACCTAAGTCAGAAACTCATTTTTTAGTAAAAGGGAAGACTTGTAGGTCCCTGGCCCCAGTTTTGGGTAACTGTTGCCTTGCTTGCTGACCTTGACCTTGATATCCTCCCTATGCTAATTCCCTGCCGGGTTCCACCCTCCTGAATGCTTAAGGGAAGTTCCTTGTCTGTGTATCCTGCATATTGGGCATTAACAGCTTAGATGCAAGTTTGTAAAACATCAGTAGCGAACTTCTGCTCTCCAGGGTTCTCCCATTGTGCTGTAAGCCTGTATTTAAGACCTCCTCCCTCCTTCAATAAATGGCATTCAGCATTAAATAAATAAATAAATAAATAAATAAATAAATAAATAAATAAATAAAAATAAAAAAGAATCAGGAAGATGCTTTGCATGAGCAAACACAGCCCATTGGGCAGAGCAATGTCATTAGGAGCCCAGCCTTCCTGTATCAAACAAAAAGATGCATATTCAAATCAGGGGTGTGATGATGTTTTATTTGTGCTGAAATGTGATATTTTATTTGTTAATAAATAAAGTTTTCCTGGAAAAAAAAGAAAGAAAGAACCACCTCTCAGTGTAAGCACTTCTGTGCCAATATTGTGGGTCAGGCACTAACTTAGGCGCAGGGGACATAACAATCAACAAACAAGCTAAGTCCTGTTTTCCAAGACTTTCCATTATATTTGTATTAGAAATGACAGAAACAAATCAAGTCTGTGCTGTTTGGTGGTAACAAGTGTCAAACAGAAGAATGAAGGAGGGTAATTCTGGAAGGGCAGCTCTGCTTCAGAAAGCAGGGAGCAAGCTTCTGAGTAGTGGGAAGTCATTCCAAAAGAATGGAGAAGCCAGTGCAAAGGTCCTGAAGTAAGCAAGTTCCTGGTGTGTTCAAGGAATGTGGAGCAGTAGGAAGGTAGAGCAGACAACCCACAACAGAGTGAGTGAAGAGCAAGAAGTAGGATCTAATGACAGAAATATGGCAGGGTGGGGTGAGTCAGGTCATGTAGAGCCTTATGACCCAGTGGAAGGAACCTGTGTTTCTTTCAGAGCAAGACAGGGAGGATTGCAAGACAGAGGTGAGGAGGTGATTTAAACAAAATCTATATATTAGCTTGTGACTTTGACTTCAAAACTGAGAATATAAAGCATCAGCAGGAGAGTTAGGATGCTGGAGCAGAGACCCAGGATGCCGGCTGGACCAGTAGTCTCCTTGGGCACAGTGAAGAGTCAGATTACAGATCTGTTCAAAAGCCAGGGTCAGGGCTGAAGAGATGGATCAGTGGATAAAGCACATGCTATGCAAGCATGAGGACATTTGCTCTGATCCCAGCATCCTCACAAATGCATGCTGGGATGGCTACAGGCTTGTTATCCCAGAGCTCAGGAGCAGGAAACAGGAAGTACCCCTACCTGGATGACTAGCTAGACTAGCCAAATCCATAAGCTCTCAGATCACACACATGCACATACATGTGACTTGACACGCACATGAACATGCATACATACCAGGAGTGAGAAAAGACCCAGGGTTTGGGGCCCTAGAATCACTTCCTGAAATAAAAAGCCTGGGGGCTGGGCAGGCTACAGGGAGGAGAGGGAGTGCAGAGATCCAGAGCACAAACCTGGGGAGATCCAGGAGCCTTTGCTGAGCTGGGACCTGTTGGCAAACCTGGGAGGCCCACATTAGTAGATGAGTGAAGCGAGGCTCAGACATGAGTCCTGCACTCAGGAGGCAGGGCCTCTGCGGGCCTGGATGAAGCTCTCAAGCCTGACTCCTCCTCCAGCCCAGTCATCTGCAGAAACTTCACAACAGGAAATGAGCTGAAATAAATTGAACCTCCACTCCCAGGGTTCAGAGGAAGGGCATCTGCGCAGGCTCTCTGATGCCTGGCTTCCTGGAGGAACCAGAGTCTCTTTCACTTTCAAAGAATACATTTGCTTGCTGAGGAGCCTTGGGCAGTGACACGGACATCAGTGAGCTCCATAGAAGAGCAGGGTGAGTAGTGGGAACAAAAGAATCCACCAGTCCATTTGAGTTGTGGGAAGACAAGTGCTGGTCTCACTCTACTAAGCCATACTGTGGCAGACATTGAGACCTCATCCTGAGAGCTAGAACCCAGGCTCCAGCCCCTGCTTGGAGAGTCTGCAGGCCAGCTCTGGTAGATCATAGCTTACTGGGTTCACCTGCATGCATCATGTGCCTGCTCCTGTCTTACACCCTTCTCTCTCCTGTCTGACCTGAAGCTGCTGGAATAAGAGTCATTAATAGTGAGGTATTCAAAGGCTAAGAAATAAATAAGACAAAAGCCATAGTTGTGTGCAGCAGTTCTTGCATAATCTGATACTTATGCAATACAATTTTATTAAAAAGTACAGTATTGTATGAACTAATTGCAGGGAAGAGTGGCCAGGGTCAGCACAGAGATAAGTCAGACAATGTTGGCAAAAATAACAGGATCCCTTAGACACAGATGCCTGGGGGAAGTGTCAGGTCCCCTGTCTTCAGTCTCATCTTACTCATCATAGCCCTGTCTATTAACTGTTTTCACATGTTTCTCCAGAAGTAAATGACAGCAATCACGTGATTCACTGTAGCAGATCAAGTTAAAATTCTTTTCCTGGTTCATGAAGTCACCCTAACCTGCACACCCTTAAACCCTAGGGACAGAGACTAGCCCCACCTCCATCATCCCCCTTTTGCAAGAAACAGCCAATGAGAGAATACACCTCCCTCCACTTTTTTATAAATCTGTCTTCAGGGTCCGGAATGAAATGTTAAACATTAAAGAAGAAACCTTAGATAAGCTGAGAGCCCCAGACTCAGCATAACAGCACACCTGTCTGACAGGAAAGCCAATGCAGTAAGGAGAACATCCACTGACATCATTCATGAAACTATAGAGAACACATCCATTGATAAACTCCCTCCCAGAGTTCCCTCTTCTGCCCTATAAAGCCCAAGCCCTGCACCTGGACACACAGTCTCCATCCCCAGGAGAGCCTGGAGTCCTTCAGTTGTCCTGACCAGAGGACAATTGTCCCTGTAGAGGCTGCTCTGCTCTTTTTTTTTATTTCCATCTTTCCTCCATCAGTTCCAATCAAACACCATTTTGCAACAAAGAAATGGCTGGCAGAGTCAAGGATCCACTGACCTCCTTGGAGCAACAACAGATGGGTGTCGTGGAGCAGTATGGGCCAAAGCTGCACACTCAGGCATTATCTGAGGAACCTATCAACACAAGAGCAGCTCAGTCCCAGAAGGCAAGTGACACAAAGGAGGCTCAACATAAGGGTCAACAGGGCTTGGACCCCTCCTACCACACATGGGAACCATTGTTCATGGAATTCCAGGGACCCCTTTCCCCGTCAGAGGAGGACTTAATGCAAAGTAAGTACACCAAAGACCCCAACTCACCACTACTGTGACCCCTTCATCACCACTGAGCACTCCTGACAGGGATTCCATGGCAGGCTAACCTCCTGTCAAAAGAGTCCCAGGCCCAGGAAAGGCTGGAACAGGAAGGCTTGCAGAAGCCCCAACTGAAACCTAGGGCCACACCCTCTTGTACACCATGCATTCTTATGCCCCCAGCTGGTGTTTACAGCCCCTAGGAAGGAGCACTCAGAAGCTGTAGTGGGGAGAGGCTATAATTCAGAGAGGATCTGAAAATGGGTTCAAGGTTCAAGCCAGCTCCAAAAAGGAGTGCTTGGTGACACTGATGTTACAAAGCCAGACCTTGGATCTGGGCAGAGGCAGACTCCAGTCTTGGCTCTACCCATCAATGGACAAGTCACTTTACAGCCCTCTGCCTTCACCTGGGAAATGGGAGAGTCAACACCTGCCTCCTTGGGCTGTGTGAGTAAAGTAATAATCCACATCAAATATTAAATAGTCTAATATCCAATAAATGTTCAATCGTTATAAGCACAAGCCCATGCAATTGCTGCTGCTGTTATTATAGTTTGAAACCCTGTGGGACAGAAGCTCAAAGACCTACATGAGGGAGCTGAGGCTTAGAGAGTAATAGAGACTCAGGGCAGGTGTGTGAACTTCATGATCCCAGTGCAGAACCATTTCTCAGCACCATTGGTGAGAGAGTCATCCTTCCCATGAGACTGTGAAGAAGGGTGTGAGGGTAAGTAGGTAGGACCCAAGTCTTGCTCCCCTGGCACATACCTTTGCCTCTCTGACAAGCACACAACCGCTTTCTCCTTCCCACAGGACATTCTTCCTCCTTTCTCGGTCCCAGAAGCACAGTTAACATAGAAATCCCTAGCCTGCCCCACTTCATGGAACTACAGAGCCATAAATCTTGGAGACATTCTCAAATGCCAAAAAAAGAAATTGTTAAATCTGATGAGCCTGAATGCAGAAGCAGAGGTAAGCTGAGCTGAGGGCTGTGGGTGGGACTTCCGGTTCACATAGATGTTGGTTCTTTACAGCTAAGCCTCCACCCGTATAGGAACCTGGAATGAAAGACTTATATGGAAGAGCAGAGGAACCATGGTGAGGTGCTCAGAGTTACAAGCTAGAAATGATCCCTCTGGGCTCCACAGTGCTGAAGTTTCATTGACAGATGAGGAAACTAAACCCCAGGGGTCAACAGTAAGCCTATCCAATTGACAGCCAGAACTCAGCTCAGAATCCGAGTGGGCACTAAAGTCCCAGGGGTCATGCAAGTCCTGAAGTTTCAAGAATGTCTAGTCTCTTGAGATGGACCCTATGAAGAGGGTAGTTTTCTGCCTCAAATTCATCTAGTTTCTTCTACTGACTTCCCTTATTTCAACTTAGGCTGGCCACATCCTTGCCTTTTCCTCTTCTCAAGCATCGAAGTAGCCACTTCTCTCCAGTGCACAAGGTCTAGAGAGAGGTTAACTTGTCCAAACTCATAGCACGTAGAGACAGACAAAGGGATGGAATCTAGAACACTGGGAGCCTGAGAAATTATTTCCTTCTCTTTCATCCTGCTGCTATTTGGTGAAAGTCCTGCCCATGCCTAACCCTTGTCTCTCCCTTCAAAGTCCATTCTTCCCACCCCACATTAAGTTATAGAAATGTTGACCACAGAGACAAACTCCATTATCCTCACTCCACCCATCTGTATCACATCTTCATCATTTGAGCCTTCAGGCTGCTTACCCTTAGCTCCACTGCCACCTCAGCAACAAGTGCAGATCTCACATGTTCATGATCCACACAAATCCCTTGCACACAGAGCTTAGGGAAGACTCCATTGATGATATTATAGCAGAGGTTGAACTGTTCATGTCTCTCTCCCCACAAGGGTTCCTCTTATTCTTCCACTAGCATTCTTCTCTCTCCTGCCTTTTCCTACACTGTTTCCAGATACCCAGTTGTTCCATTTAGAGCAATTCCACTCCATCTCCAACTTGTGTGCTCAAGTTTAATTGGCTGTCAAAACTGTGCCTGACAGTAAAGATGCCCACCCATCATGGGATATCACTTAGTAACTGTCAGCTATTATTTGAAATATGGTTCTCAGCCCCCAGGAAGTTCATCAGAATATCTCCATTTTCACCTAGAAGTTTTAGATCAAAAAATAAGAAAAATCATATGGCCTAACACTAAGATTATTAACTATGCAGAGACATATTCCTGTAATCTCAGAACCAGGGAAATTGAGGCAGGAGGAACCTAAGTTCAAGACAACTTGAGCTACAAAGTGAGATCCTATTAAAATTTGTTAATTCAGATGTATTAGTTGCTTGTCATGTTATTGGAACATAATGTCTGACAAACCATTTTAAAGAAGAAAGGGCTTATTTAGCTCACAGATCAAGAATGTAGTCCATGACCCCAGAAAAGCCATAGTTGCAAGAGACTGAAACAACTACTCACATTGTGCTTAGTCAGGAAACAGAGAGATGAATGCTAGTGCTCAGCTCACTTTTCCTTTTTATTCACTCTAGGACTCCAGCCCTTGGGATGGTGCCATCTGCAATTAGGGTGGGCCTCAGTAAACCTAACCTGTCCCTCAAAGTGTTCCCAGGTGTTTGTCTGCTAGGAGATTCTAGATCCTATGGTATAGAAATGCTAGCCAATGCACCATCTCACAGGATCATTGTAAGAGTTCAAAATTCAAGAGTCTGAAGTACACTGGGCGTTGGAAAACTACCTGCTTCTTCCCTGTCTTTTCTCACTGGTAGAGCCCTAATCACACCTTCACCAAGCTTTTTCAGCCACACCCTCAGACCATGAGTTTCCAGGCCAAGAGTCACCCAGTCTTCCAACATCAGAGGGTGTGTCTGAGAACTGGGAACCTCCTTCTAACCCATAGCACAGCAATCAGGAACCTCCTGGGATAAGGCAGCCTCTGCCTGAAAGTTTAAATTCACTATTCAGGTGACATGAGCTTCTTAAGATGACACAAAAACATGAGCAAGACTCAGTTACCTGGGGCAAAGTGCCAGCATAGCACCCCAGATCAAGAGAGCCCTAGAGAGCAGTCAAGCAATCCTGCCCCTGGAGCCTCACTGGGCATGGCACTGCTCCCTGGAGGCCCTTGGAATTAAGGGCAGTGTCTTCTCCAGCACGAGAACACAGCTGGGTTTCTGGGTAGGGAACTGACAGACAGGAGAATCCATTACCACACGATCCCTCATCACTCACCATCTCAAGTGGCCAAGGGGTCATCAGGGGTTTGCTGAGCACCCACTCATGTCAGGCCCTGTTCCCAGGACTTCCCTTGCATCTCACTCACACTTAAATCTCACAAACACTCTTGAGAGAGAGACTGCTGTTGTCCCACCTTGGGGACAAGAAGACCAAGGCTTAGTGAAGTGGAGGTTCACAGTGGAGGAACTGTATTCAGCCTTCACTGTCACTATTCACACACTGAATGCCTCTGTCTCACTCTCTCTGGCTTCAGGACAATAAGGACAGTCACATCAAAGCCAGGGAAATGCATACTAAGGGCCTGACCTTGAGCAATACCACCTCTCAGTACTAGAAGATGCCACCTTTGAAATCTGAGCTACACTCAAAGAAAAGCATTCCTTCTACTGCCAGCTTGCAGTAAACTTGTAGAATCCAGGGCCTTGAAATATGGCCCAGGCTTAAAGTGTATCAACTCACTTAATCAGTCCCATCACTTCCCATTCAAAATAGAAAGAGGGGAAGAAAAATAGGAAGGACTTGAGACATCTTATGGAAACATACAAATGCACTTACATCAATGTAATACAGTAACCTTAGAAATGAAAATGGCAAGTATGAAGCTATGAGGATTAAAGAGTTGCTGTAACTAAACAACCCATTGGATTAGAGGATCCTGGCAGGCAGAGTGATAGGGAAGTGGGTTTCGTATTAGCTAATATCAGCCGCAGAGAAAAGACTGATTGAAAAGGAAGGTACTTTTCATTGATTCTAGGTCCCAATGGGGTGTCTCATCTGAGAACTTGAATAATGTAAAATCCAACAACAGCTTCATTGTAAATGCTCAATCTACATGGCATACTTTGTGATTATATCAAGAGGGAAGGAAACTCTGAGTCAAGTACATGACAGGTGATATCATACGTTTTGTGGGTCTCTGTCACACCTGTACAGCTCTGCTGACACAGTGTCAAAGACAGCCCGGACAACAGAACAACAACACAGCCATGCTGCACTCCAGTGATCCTTTGTTTATTAACACTACTTTTTTGTTTTGTTTTGATGTTTTGCTGTGGTTCTGGGCAATGCTGTAGCTGTGTGGTCGCTACACGTGTGTATGGGTTCATGCTGGTCCGTGGAATGAAGACACAGAGGCATCTTAAGAATAAATCTAGCCTTTCATGGCTGCAGGGGGGTCCAGCCTCAAAAGACTGAAGCACTCTTCCCTTCACCAGGGCATATTTATTTACTCTTTTTTACAGTTTAGATAGTTAATTTCCATACCTTCAAAGCAACTCAAAAGGAGCTCCCAGAGACCAAAAGTCAGGTGCAAATTACTTGATTTCTCAGGTACCTCGGTTTTCCGGGTTTCCTGGACCAAGTTTTGCATAGGCCTTTGATCCTTGGAGGACTCTCTGATCCTTGACTCTCAAATAAGATTCTCATAGGGCGATAAGAGAAACAAAAGGTAAGAGAAACAAAAGGTGTGATTAAACAAAGGAAGGATTAGGGCTAGGTGCTGCTCTCTGGAGCCAAGCCAGGAGCTCAACAGGAATGCCACTACACAATGCCATGCTTTTCTTAATTTCTTTTTCTTTAATTTTTTTCCTTTTGCTTCCAGAGATGGATTCCATGACATTTTCACATACAAACATCATCAAATTCTGTTATTTTTCTCCTGCCGTCCTCCCCTCTGGCCCTCCCTCTCCTCCTCGCCCCTTTCTTTCCCCAGGTAGCCTCCTTCCTTTCATGACATACATGCTGCATTACAGTTTCCTGTCCCCTTCCACTCTCCGCAGATTTTTTCTGCTGATGCAGAAGCCATGGAGAAGTGCTGTTTACTGGCTTATTTCTCATGGCTGGTCAGTCTGCTTTCTTACAGAACACAAGATCACCAACCCATGCATGGCACCACAATTAATGTACTGAGCCCTCCCCCATCAATCACTAATTAAGAAAATGTCCACAGGCTTGTCCACAATTTCATCTTATGGAGCCATTTTCTCCATTGAGGCTCCCTCCTCTCTGATGACTCTAGCTTGTGTCAAATTGACATAAAACTAGCCAGTACAGTAGGACTTCCAGTACAGCATCTTCTCGAACTAAGAAAGCAGGTCCTCAGGGAGAAGGCTTCTGGACCAGATATACCTTGAATCCTCCAAGTCTTGTCTTCAAAGTGTGAGGTGTTTTCAGCAATAAGGACTTACCTTCAACTTCTAAGAGGCAACCAAAGGCAACAGCAATAGCCTCTGTTGTTTTGGGAGCCCCTTGTACCCCATTGATTAACAACTCACAAGGAGGTTTCTCATGCCTGTTACTAGAGTTTATATTAGACAGTCTATGGCTTTAGGGGAAGCAATGTCATCCCAAATGGAATATCTTTATTAATGTGTGTGTATGCATATGTGTGTACCTATATGTATATTTACATGCACTTAGAAGTAATATATGTAATTTTAAGTACATATAGAACAATGTGATTCCCTGAACAATATCCTTAGTGTTGTTTATCCCTCTTCCCTCTACTTCCATATTGTCCTTCCTCCCCCTTCCAATTAAAGCCCCCCCACTTCATTTTTCCCATTTCCTCTTCATAGAATTTGTACCATTTTATTTCCCTCTCTAGAGCTCCTTCCCACCCCATGATCCCTTTTCTCTTCCCTGGTTTCTGCAGTGACTCCAGGTTATGTAATAACATCTGAAGATTTGAACCTAGGAACCACAAGTGAGTGAGAACATGAGTGTGTCTTTCTAGATCTGGGAAA